AATTACAGTTTTTCTAACTGGAGCATCAAGTGGACACAGTAGCACCTACAAACGTAACGAGAAAACACATCAGTTATCTACCCCTTTCCTAGCTAACTTCCCTCCTTACTACAATCTTCGTCAGTTCAGGCAAAAGGGATATTTTAATGACGATCATAATTTAACGGCATTATTAAAATAGCCAACTTAAGCAGCTTTAACTGATTAGATAAACTTCTTATACCTATAAGAGAACACCACTGTGAGTAAGAACAAAAAGCAACTGTCTATTAAATATTAATAAAAGATGAAAAGAAGGAAATACAAGTTATGGCTGGTAAAAACAATAAAGAAAGGTTCCTAGGAAAGTTCAGTTAAGCATAGCTGACAACTCCGCAGCGATCCGGCGATCAATTTCGACGGAATTCAAGTGACTATTGTTGGATTTAGCAGTAGCATCTGCATCGAAAGCATCCTCCGCTTGATTTAAAAGCTCTGATACATGCTCTCCAACATTAAGAGCCTTAGCCAGGGAGGCTATGTCGTCAAATCGCTTTACAAGAACATATGTCGTCCGCAAAACGTAGCAGGCCTCAGTGGGGTGCTTAAAATTGCGTTTCATATCAATGAGATGAAAAAGACTGGCAGCTAACTCCAAAGCATCCGAATCCTGCATGAATAAGCAGAGAGATAGATTGAGACTTAACGAAATGCCAGCAAGTTCATGTTCTGGGGATCTGAATTTGAGATCTAACTCTGACGAATCTAAACCAATGAGTCGAATGCATAACTGCACGAGTGGATCCAACTGGAGAGAACTAGTTAGGGATTTTGGGGAAAGACCGATGCAATTACACAAGAGACGAGCCTTTGAGGTGTCCAAATTAAAATATTCACTGTGAGAAGCCTTGCCCTTTTCTGGTGGATATGTGTCAGCAAGTCCGTGCAAATTCTTAAGCGGATCAGTGAAAAGGCCGTTGAGAAATTCCGGAAAACGCCATACTGCTAATCGGAAAATTTCGCATATCGCGTCACACTGGCGAAATGTAGCAAAACGATTGAAACGTAGTAAACAATATGTGTCCGTATCGCAGTTATCCTTCGGCAAAACTGGAAGGGTTAAGGAACGCAACTTTTTCAGAGCTTCAGATGCCCATTGGGAAGCCAGGTCTGCTCTTGGACTCGAGAAGAGAGCGTCTAAGCTTTTCCCTGAGTATTCACTACATAGCGGCTCGTCGTACAAGACTGGCTTGACCTCGTCTAAAAGAGTGGCCGCTTTCTCGTTTGAACTTCTTGATGCCGTCGGTCCGGTTATATCGACTTTTCCTTCTGTAATCAGTTGAACCAGGGGGCCAATGGGAGTCTGTAAAACATCTGACGGCAAATCGGTTAGGTAGGACGGAATAGAATTCCCTGTCAAGTGTTTTATAACATGGGCAGAAAATGTGTTGCAGTTATGGCGGAGGGTATTGTATGATCCAGGCCGAAACGTTGTCTTAACTAGTTCGTCCAAGTAGGCCTGCAATTCCGATTCAGATAGGCTGGTCTGCCCCATAATTTTTCTTTCGACAAGCTGACACCTGATGCCGTTTACATTCGCATCTCCAGGTTTACAACGGCCAATTCCTTCAGCTCCGAAAAAATACTCGGTATCCCGGACAACTACGCCCGTATGCCATATACCATCGAATTGTCGACCAGTAAGCAATTGTGAAAAAGCGCGCGAGAAACCATGCGACATGTCGTAGATACAAAGATAGACATCAGCCATCTACCAAACGCAACAAGTGACTCCAATTTTATTTAGAAACTGGTAGCGTTTTTTCGGTGAAGTTAAACAAGTCCGCCAATGCAAAAATGACAGCGAAAATTTTGCAAACAGGGCAGCTAAGGTCAGGTTTTATTAAGGAAAATGTAGGTAAATAGCTTTGAACTCCCTATTGATACAGAACATTTATGCAATGCATTGGTTCAGCAGAAAATTTCAAAATAGTGGCGTCGCCAGTAAATGGAACTGGGTAAAGAACGGCCGACAGTGAAAAAACTCCTTAGGCATTGTTTGGAAA